TGATTGGGCCTTTAATATGTAATTATTTATAATTTAATAATAATAATAAAATAATAATAATAATAATAATAATAGTAATAATAATTTTAAAATGGAAAAAATTAGTGTCTACATAGGAAATAGACTTATCACAAGTCTTATTTCCATTGAATTGCACCTATAATATGCACTCACCTGGCCTCATTAGTCAATGTCGTTCTCTTATCTTTTTCTCGATTACTAATACTTGACGATTTGTCCGGACTTTGCTCTCGATCGATATCTACATAATCATACATATTATATACATATCAGCATTCCAATTATCATAATTCGATCCTTAATTTCTTAGACCAAAAGAAATACTTAATTCCCTTTTCTACTTGGAGTAGTATCGGTACCCCCTATAGGGTATCGATACTTGTAACAACCCGGATATTTTCAAAATAATATTTAATTAAAATTGGAGGTTTTAATTGTGAAAATCGGTAAATTGTGGGGACTAAATTGAAAGATTTTAAAATTTGGAGCTTGTTTTAGAGTTAAAGAAAATTTATGGACCAAACCCTGAATTTACCCAAGAAAGTTAGGTATGTTATGTTATAAACGTGGTTTTCTGTTTCAAAACAGAAAACCACACCTCAATTGTTCCCAAATTCCCTTCCCCCTACGCCGGTTTCAGACTTAGATCCCGATGCCGTCCGAATTCTGATCGTCATTTTGAAATCACTATCGTGTTTGTTATCGAGTCAGGAACAATCCCCTTAAATTAATTGAAGTGAAACGCTACCAAACGTCGGGAATTTCAAGTCAAAGCATCGACGTTTTTTTTTAGCTCTATATCAGGGAAAATCTCAAATTCAACGCCGATCGTTACTCTGTTTACGACACCTCCTGCACCATCGTGTTCCTTGTGCCGTTTCGAGTTCGCCGGTTTCATCCTCGGTCTAAGTCGACGGCGGCGCATGAGGAGGTGGAGCAGTCAAAGATTCGGCCGAGTTGAAATCGAGCTCTCCGCCGTTCAAAAATTTGAACCGATCTTTGTAAGTATCTCGAAATCGCTTAAAATAATTTTTAGAAATTTTTTCGGGATTTTTAGATCCCTAGAGGAGGTCTCATGCGTCACACGCGCCGCCGCAGGGAGAGTGGAAGCTGGAAAACTGGTTTAACCGGTTTTGAACCGATTTTGACCGGTTCGAACCGGTTTGACCAGTCTAAATCGGTCTGACCCGACCCGACCGACCCCGACCCGACCGTTGACCGTTGACCGTTGACTTTCTTTGACCATAACCTTAAATCGCTTTGACCGACCCTTAAACGACCGTAAATATTTTTCGAGTATACCTATTCTGATAGTTTTCGACGTCCCGAATCCGTTTCACCAAATTCGAACCAGAAGGCCTCCAAATCGACGGTCAAAGTGGTTGACTTTGACCAAGAATTTAAATTTTCGAAAAGTCATACTTTATGTTTTTCGACGTCCTGATTCCGATTCTGTAATCCATTTGACCAAATTCAGACTCGAAATCCTCCAAATTGATAGTCAAACCCTGAAAATACTTATATACTTAAGAATTTTAGCTTTGAACAATTAAGTAAGATTTGGGGCTGATAAATTATTATTATTTGTAGGTATAAGAGTCTTTCCGGATCGTTCGACAGCTCGACCCAACTCTTCTAGATCAGTTAAACCACGTTCAAAAACTGTAGCAGAGCGTGGTGAAACCAGCAATCAGTAAATCTACTATTTGAACCTATTATTGAGGTGTGTTCCCTAAGTACTATTTAATTATTTTATTTGTTTTGAAATATGGTACATTGAAAGCTATGATTTACTGTTTATTGATAGTTTATGGACAATGACTGATATATGATTATTGGTTTTCACCTATATATATGATTACGAATTTATGGAAATTATGCTTATTGCATAAATTATATTGATTGAAAATATTGATTTAGGGTTGGATTGAATTACAATGGTATAGCTCTGATCAAGCTAATAAACAGTACGGACCTAATGTGACTCTTGGGTAGACTCGCGGGCCCATGATGCTCCATTAGGTTGGCTTCCTTTGCTGTGTGCTTAAGGTAAGCTATATGGACTTATGGACTTACGGACTTAAGGATACAAGCTCTAAAGCATATCCTTAGGTTGGCTTCCTTTTTGCTATGTGCTTAAAGTAAGCTATATGGACGCAGTTTTGGGAACTGCGGATGGTGCACAAGAAAAGGGTTTAAACTATGATTTTCAAAAGTTAAACTCTATTATGAAATTATGATGGTTTACTGAACTATTACTCGTTTATTGTACCTTTTGTGATTTTATGGTAATGTGGGACACACTAAGCCTAGCTCACCTTTCGAAAATGTTTTTTCCCCTTTTAGATACTGTTGGTTAGATACCCCGGATTGAGCACTTGGAGGATCAACATGTCTCTTGAAGTATATTTGATTGTAATATTTTTATCATTCAGGTTGACTTTATTTTGGTGACATGGACCTTATTTTAAAGTATTGGATTTTATAGTGATTACACTTTTGCTATTAATATTCGGTTTATCGTGATTTTGATTTTTAAGACATGTTTTAAATTAATTTTTTACTTATTGGTATTATATTTATGAGTTGGGTTTTGATAGTATAATATCATGTCATTTATAATGTGATTTTACAATGATTGAATAACGTTTTCAGAAAATGTCTTTAAGAATCATGTATGTGATCCACTAGACTTAGTCGAAACGCATAGGCCGGGTCTAGGGGTTACAATACTTCCCTAGCTGTGGTATCGATACCAAGACTGGGTATCGATACCCATTTTGCATTCGAAATCCTTATTTCAAAACTAGTACCGATACTGATCTAATGATATCGGTACCTTTGGTATCGATGCTACCTTCCCAGGTATCGATACCCCATAAACAATTTATAAATTTCTGTCTTATGGTATCAATATTTATTCAAATGGTATCGATACCCTCACTCAAATTTTGACCCTTTTCTCTTGGAAGTATCGGTATTAGATGAACAGTAACAATACCTCATGCCCAGAATTCATATTTTTATCTCGACAATTCACCCAAACTTACTTATATCTTATACTAGAACCTCCTTTAAGTCCTTTAAGCTTAACTACACTTATTCTAATCAACTTAGATCACTTTAACTCATCCTAATATCCAATATCCCACATCCATACTTGAATTCAATAATTAAGCCAATAAATCAACATGTTCCAAATTCATTTCTATCACTTTTTACTTCTTAATTTAGCTGATGACAAGTCAATTTTAGTCTCAAATTCTACTTACTAACCCTCTTTCAAAATTTCACTTATAAACCTCTTATCTTTAATCCCTCCTAACTTATCATTCTTTTAGTTTCTACATCCCTTTAAGTTTCCATAGTCTTTTCTTATGCTCTATTAATCAAAACCAATCCTTAATTGAAAGAAAACCAGCTGAAAAATAAAACTCACCTTAGCTACAAAGCTCACGTTGAGAGGAGGAAGAAGACTCCAACTCCAGACTTTTCCTTTCTTTTTCTTTCTCATTCCACGTGGTTAATTCCTTATAAAGGAAAAATAAAAATATTTCTTTTGAAAAGATCAATTTACCCTTACTTCATCAAATATTTACTAAACAATCCTTCACAAAATATTCCCAAATAAGTCCCTAAACTTTTCAATCTTTTGAAATCATACCTCAAAATTTCAAAACTTCAATTTTGGTCACTAGCCCTGATTTGGGGATGTTACAGCTGATGTTACTTTTGTTGAAGATGATTTTGTTCAGTCTAATTATCTTCAGGGGTGACTTAGATTGAAGATACATTTTGAATACAGCTCTCCTTGATCTGGTTATTTTTATAAATCTAAATACTTACAGTTAACACTTGTTCCTAAGTCTATTCGTGAATAAATTGTTGAGCCTATTATTAGTGAGCCCATTACTCCACCAATTAAGTCAGTTATGATGACAGATATGAAAAATCAAAATAATAATCAATTGAAAGTTTATTCAACGAAGAAGACACCAATTTCTCGACCAATACAGGTACAATTTCTCATTCATACTATTAGTTTGGGATGTTTGCCAAGTCAATGATCTCATTGGGATATAAACAAAGTCAAGGTGATCATACCTTGTTCCTAAAACACTTGAACTTCAGAAAGGTTACAACACTTCTAGTAAAATGTAGATGACATCATAGTTACGAGTAATGACATTAAAGGAATGAAGAACATGAAAAATGTCTTTTTGAAGGAATTTGACATCAAAGAGCTAGGAAAGTTGAAATACTTTCTAGGCATTGGGGTGGCACATTTAAAGCAAGGAATCTTCATCTCTCAATAAAGATATGTGCTTGACTCATATTAAAAGAAACATGGAAGATGAGTAGCAAATCAGTTGAGACACCAATCGAGTTTAATCATGGGTTATGTGATGCACCAAAAGAACCTATGGCGGATAGACAATCCTATCAAAGGCTGGTTGGAAAGTTAATTTATTTGGCACACACTAGACCAGATATAGCCTTTGTAGCAAGTATAGTTAGTTTATGCATTCTCTGAAAGAATCACATCTGAAAACAGTAAGCAGAATACTAAAATACTTGAAAGGGCCAACAAAGATCCATTGATAGATGTGCTCGTGAAAGGGCTGACAAGCAAGGTTTTTCAAGAAATTCAAAACAAGTTGGAATTATAGATATTCATTCACCGGTTTGAGAAGTGTTAGAATCATGCATGTAGAAGTCTTGTTTGTTTAAGAGTCTTATGATAAGAAAGGATAAGTCTTAGAAGTCTTTGTACTCTCTATCTCTTGATAGAATTTTATCTTTAGCAGAAAAGTCCTATTAGAAGTCAACAACTCCTTTATTTAAACTAACATGCTCTCCTAAATTCAATAATTAGATTTCTCTTTCATTACCTCTTTTATTCTTTTCATGTCCTTCGTTTTGTTTCTTTAGATAATATAACAAGCAGAATATAACAAGAGAGAAGAAGAATTCTTCATCTGTAGGACAATATAAGAATCCCCCTTATAGAATTTTCCATAGTCAGACTTTGGCAATGGAACTGGCTGAAAATTCTCAATTCGCCAAATTTCAGTCCCACTATACGATGTTAAGTGCAACAATAGCATATGTATGGAACATAAGCACAAATCTCAAAAGCAAACAAAAAGCGTTGTCAATATTCGTTTTCATGGTCGTGGTGGAAAAAGAATTGATTCTGGTCTATCTTATCAAAAGTTAAGTTTAAATAATATATATACTCTTCTATAAAGAAAAAAAGTTAAAAATTGTAAAGTACATAAGTTCACAAACTATTATATGCCCTTCATCTTAAGGATACGGTTTTTGACACACTCCCTGGAATGCAGGATCCATAACTTTTGCGGAGCTTGACATTTCTTAGAGTTCTTTATCGATGTTTTCTAAAGCAAAAATATTAAATCAACTTCAGAATCCAACCTGCACAAGTCAAGAAGTGCCACAAAACCTACTGGAGAAATACAGGTATTTCATCATGTAATAAAAAAATTACAATAGAATTAAAAAAAAAAAAGATTAGAACAATAGACTTTTAATCAATACTTACAATAATTTAATTGGTTTAAAATTATGTTCCTATTTCACAGTGCACTAATAAGCAGAAAATATAATATTACAGTGTAATAATCATGCCCAAAGCACACAAAAAAACCATTTTCTTGCTATAACAGAACCAATCAAAGATAAGTCACCACAGCTTTCACAATCTTCAGCAACAAGCCAATCTTGCGACACCGTGTACTGTCAAAGATCTTACATTAAGCAATTTCATAAAGGGTCTTGATGTGTCCAAGCATGCAACCCAGTTGACTGGACATCAGGACATGTATTGCTTCTACCTAAAAAAATTTTATAAAACATTAACGACCTTAGTAGCCGAATCCTCTCTTCCCCGTGACCTTCTTTCAAGGTGAGCTTGATGGCCAACATCATTTCATAACGAGTTCAGGAACCTCCTATCACAGAAGCATGCATTTGGTTGTGAGAATGATTATCTTCTTGATAGAAACCTTAAACACTTGTACAGCTGATGAGTATAAAAGCTTCCCCACTCCATATAATATCAAGAATTTGATCCACATGAGAAGGAAGAGACTAATGCCCTAAGAATTTAAATCTTCCTTTCCAAATCAGATCTACGTGTCCATGAATTATTTAGGCTACTACTGTAATTACATCTTTAGTTCCTAATGATAGTATCCGTGCTAAGACTAAGACATGGCTGCACCTGGTCGCAAAATTAGTGATAAAAAATAGAACAAGAATGATGTCTAACATAAAGTTAATCACCTATTACAAATTTTATATTCCACACCAGTATATGAAAAACTAAGAGCAACTTTTCAGATTGTGTAAGTATGAAAAATGTGTTCTGTCTATGCATCCCACATTGTCGAATTCAACATCAAGATGATGTTCACATGATAGACAAGGGATCTCCACCAGCACTCCTCAAACTTAAAAACCAAAAAAGAAAAAAAAATACTAGTTCCATATGTACACAGATTTGCCAACTTCACATGATATGGAATTTAATAATCTCTTATATTTCTGGCCAAAAAAAAACTCAATAAACTGATATTCTTTAAACCAATAATCCATAATTTCGATTATATTATTACAGAAGACCCTTATCCCGCAAACTAAATTCCAAACGTTTGCTTGCAGTTGTTCCATGCTCTTAGGAGAATACCCAAATCAATATTGCTTGAAACTTGCCACAAAAATGGATCACCGATGAGCACTTTGAGGAAAGAAATGTATTTTTTTTATTTGATCACACAAACAATCAGAAGGCAGCAACGGATTTTTAGCATTAGTGCCACTGACAAGCAATCCATGCAGCAGCTAACATGAACAATCACGGGATCAAAAAGGAAGGGAAAACAGAGTAGGAAGAACCCAACAAGCATTCAAAAATTAAGATCTTTTAATCTATAGCCCCTGCCGTAAAACTGAAATCTTAGCTTCTCTTACACTTACACTGGAACAAAGATTTAACAAGCAGACTAAATAGAAATTCGAGAACAATCTGAAAAAAAACAATCAGATCAAAACAAGAGTTGAGGAAAAGAAACAACACCCATTGAATTTTAGAAAATATCAAGCATAACCAGATCAACAGACATCAAATCAAACACGAAAAAATGGAGATCCAAACGAGTTATGAGCCAACAAAGAAATGACCAAAGCAATGACTTTGATCTTATCTGATAGAAACAGAAACAGATGATGAAAGAAAAAAGGGTACCTTCAGATAGAGTTATCCCCCTCTTTGAGTTTGAAGAAGGAAAGGGAAGAGAAGGGTAAGCAGAGTAAGCAAATAAAAAGAAGGGGTGATGTTGGGAGTGAAAAAAGTGAATTTTTGCAATGGAACCGTTGTGCGTTGGATAAGTGTTTCTCTCTCCAACTTTTGCAATGAAATCGTTGTGTGTTTGATGAGTTTTCTCTCTTTAATTTATCTATTCATTCTCTCAGATCGTTGTGTGTTGGAAATTTGTGTGTTGGAAGAGTGTTTCTCTCTCCAACTTTATCTATTCATTCTCTCAGATCGTTGTGTGTTGGATGAGTGTTTCTCTATCCAACTTTATCTATTCATTCTCTCATACTTTTTCGAGATATGCAAATTCAGAAAGATAGTGTTTTTCTCTCCAACTTTATCTATTCATTCTCTTAGACTTTTTCGAGACATGCAAATTCAGACTGAAAATATAGAAGAAGAAGAAGAAGAAGAGGAGAAATAATGTTTATGGTTTAAGGTTTTATCGGAAAGAAAAATCTTTTATTTTCGGTAAATTATATATATAGTCCCTCGATTACGGGATATTTGCTTTGTATCCTTCCACTACATGATTTTTTTTCTGATTATAAAAATATACAAAATAGTTATCTGAGTTTAAAAAAAAGTACTAAACTTATGGTATTATGTTAAAAAGGTAATATAAATGATATAGTAATTAATGATATCATAATAATAAATTTGAGGGTAAATTATACATTTAATACCTAAATTATATTATTTTTGTTCTATTTTGGTATTCAAATTTTATTTTATTTTTCAAAATCATACCTAACATTTAGTTTAGGTTTCATTTTTGTATCTCGCTTTTAAAAACTTAATGATGATGTTAATATGTCACCATAAAATAATGTAACATTATCATTAAAAAAATGTCATGTAAGTATTTCTGTTAATTTCTTAACATCAATAAATTAAAACTTAATTGAAAGGGAAGACTCGTAATAGTAAGATTTAACTTTTGTGAAGCTTAAATGACCAAATATGAATAAAAATACTATTGAGAGTGATAAATGACAAAATTACCCTAACTGACTAACAATCCAAAAATATCCATAAGTGTATTGATATTGGTAGAGAATAACAAGTCTATGGTGTATTAACCACTCCTCAAATCAAATCACAAGGTATGTGAACGTCGAGAAAATAATGTGAACGAAAAATTATTGTTGAATGAATGCCCATAAAGGGAATGACATGCTTCGAAAGAATTGTGTTAGAGGAACTGTATACCATGGGAATACCGATAAAGCAATGACGTGTGAGTTGAATCTCAAGCCTTTCAATAGGTTGTTGGAAAAGTGGTGTTGAATGTGACGAGAGAATTTTTAATAGATAATCAACTTAATGTGCTAAGTGCATAATATACTTTGAGTGTAACGATAATACTTAATATCTTAAATGCCACAAAACACTAAAAGATTAACTTACCCTTATATGACGTTCTAGATGAGAGAACGAGTTATGTAGTGACAAAGGAGGAAACAACCTCGTTTAATTGTGTTAACGGTGGTGCTCGTATAGTCAAGTTACCTTGATTAGCCTTGTAAGGCAATGTTGATATGTATGCTTTGTGGGAACTTATGTATGTTGTGATTGTGTGTTGATGATGATTGTTTTGATATTCATAATGCTTGGCGTGACTACTATTTTGACATCGAGTCAATGCTATATATATTGTGAGTGAGAATTATACCGATGCATATGTGAGATTAAGTTTCCCTCTATAATCTATACCCTATGGTTATGATAAGATCGAAAGATCATTAGTTATGATTGACAAGAATTGTTTCAAGACATGTGTGACACTGGATTCCCATTCATGATTTAGTAGTACCCGACTATTATGATGGCATTATGTTCTACGATTGTGTATATACGTATAATGATGTACGACTTGTGTATTATTGAAACTAAAGATCAAAATATGTTCATGGATATGCCTTTAGTTATGCACTAGAGAAAGCTTTAAACTAATATCATCGTGAAGGAAACTAATAAACCTTAAGCATGTATTGCTTCGAGCTATGAATCATGCTAGTATGTTTATGTTTATGAGATTCATGATGTACACTCTAGACTAGCAATATACTATTGAGCTTTGTAAAGTTCAACGTTCGGATGTTTCCATTCGTAGATTAGTAGTTCGAGTTTGTTCGAGGGGCACTGTCCCAACAGGATTTCCATCACCTTCCTCTAGAATATTGTATGGTTACTCTTAGTGGACATTGTATTCATAGTTCCTTTATTCATGTATTAAGATTGTAATTCTAAAATTTATATTATTTTGTTTTAAACTAAAGTGTCTTGGAGCTCAGGAATGAATAAACATTTTATAATTGTCATGTATGTCGTCTTTTGATATTCCATTTTGTGTTTTTAAATAGAAATGAAAAAGATTTGAAATCTAACAATTTTTTTCGATGTCCCAATTTAACACTTGAAGTCCTTCATATATTGATCAGGTTCGGGGTGTTCATTATTGATAATTACTATTTTTTTTGTGGAATGTATTCAAGGGAATGTTTTGCTTTTATTTTTCTTCACCTCTTTAGGTTTTTATATTCCTTTGTTGTACTTAACTATTTTTTTTTTTGACGAAATCTTAGTTTTATTTCAACAGAAAGGAAAAAAAATATTTTATATGATTGTAAGAGAAGTGATAAAAACTTGTATTTTTTTTTGGGTTATGTGTTTGAGTCTCATGTATTGAGTTTTAACTGTTTTATTTGAATATTTACATAAATGTGAAAAGATAATAACTGTCAACACACATTTTCGTCCTACTAGAATTTAAATTTCTAAAAATAGAATAGAATTTTGCTAGGATTCAAACTCCTAAAAATATGATAGAGTTCTACTATGATTTAAACTCCTAAAGATAGGATCCACAAGCACTATAAATAGCCATTGTAACTCACTATTGTAACACACGATTTACAGACAAAATATAGAGGAAAACACGGAAAATACAAAGGCAAAGCTATTGTAAACGATTCGAAAAGGAAATAAAAGGTCGCATTTTTTTTGATTTGTTCATTTCTCGCATGTGCACGTTATTTTTTTGAGATTTGGTTCGAATAACCCAAAACGTGGGTT